ATGGATTCTGCAGCCAGAACCCCTCCCAGAACTTGAAAGAAATGGTCACTGGCAGGTAGCTCTCACTGGGTGTCATTTATGAAAGAGATGAAGTGGAATTCCCAATCCACAGACCCTAAACCCAGGAAGACTGGCAAACGGATGCATGTTTACAAATCTCACAGCAAAACAAACATGTGTACAAGTATGATTTCTCACAGTTCTCGTCAACTCGTCTTCGCACTTACCCGCCATTAGCTGGAAGCGCTGTCACGGCTGGCATCAGGGGAGGCAATGACACGCTCAGACACATCCCAGGCTCTGGCGTGGAGACAGAGGGAGCGGGCTCCATGCTCCTGGGGCCCTGGTGTCATGCACACTCTCCTGGGCTCTGAGACCAAAGGCCCCTGTCCCAGTCTTACTCATCACCTGCCCCTTTCCTTGCAAAGAAGTGCCCTGTGCTCACACATTGGATTATTAACTCAAAGAAACAAACACAACATCCCTTACAAACGAAGGCCCTCTGGGTGGGCTTTTCTCCTCCTCACAATGGCCTCTAACTGGCAGCTGTAGATTCCAATGAAGAAAATGCAATTCCTGGCACGTGACCCCACACCTGCCCCAGCCAGTCCTCTTCTGGTCTGCTAGAACACACGGGGAGGGGGGGAGGGGGCTTTGCCACAGACACTCCCAGGTGACTGCGGAGGAAACGCATATCTATCAGGGACCTGCTATGTGCCAAGCACCACAGTCATTAACTTTTCAACCTATTTTCTCTTATCATCATCAACAACATTGAGAAACTGATGCCAACTACACACCGGAAAAGCAGAAAAATCAGCCAGAGGCAGACACTGAGCTCCCATCTGCTGGTTGGTTCTCTTAGATGCCTGCAATAAGCAGCCAGCCGGTTCAACCCAGGTCTACCCTGAGGGAGGCAGGGACCCAACTACCTGAGTTACTTCCACCTGCCTCCCAGGTGTGCATTAGCAGCCAGCAGGAGCCAAGAGTCAGGAGCCAGGAACCAAACCAGATACTACAATGGGCATGCAGCCGTCTTAATCCTTAACCCACTCCAGAGGGCTCACGCACTCATGCCCTCAGGGACTGGGCTGGGCCTGACAGAATGCACAGGGAGTCTACAGCCTTTTACGTGCAGCACGTCTGCAGAGACATGGAGTGGCTGGGTCCATTTGCACGTGGATATGTGTGTATCTGCACACGTGTGTGCATGAGCAAGGGTGCGCCTGTGCATGAGCGTGTGCAGGGTTGCAGGTAGCGAGGTAGCAAAGGCAGGCCTAGAACGAGGCGTCTGCACACAGAGCTGAGCGCCAGGCCCACGAGCAGAGGCCGGAAAGGGACAGAGCTGTCCCAACCGTGAGAAAAGCAGAAGGAGCTGGTCAGTGCTCTGTGGTCAGAGCCTGAGACGTTATGGGCTGCCTGTGGTTTCCAGGAAAGCAAAGTTGACCAGTAGTTGACAGGCCCTGCCACTCTTCCCACCCTTTTGGTCTGTGGCAATGTTTCCCACAGGAGTGACCTTTCCCAGAGACCACCAGGGTGGGATGAGAGGAAGAGGGGGATTACCAGGGGGGCATCCAGAGCAAGCATGAGAGCTCCGGACAGAGATGTGCAGATAGGGGCTGGTCATTGGGGTCCGATGGGGCCAAGGAGGAGGCAGACCTGTCCCAGGCTGGATGCACCAGGCTCTGCCGGCACCTGCTGTCAGCACGTGTTCTAGGGCACGGGCTCCCACAGTGCAGACCAGCAGCACTGGCTCACTTGGAAAGTGCCACAAACGCACCTTCTCTGGGATGGTGTGGGGGTGGTAAAGCCTCCGCATGCAATACTGATGACCTATATGGATACCAGTTCATGTCCTAGCTGCTCCACTTCTAATCTAGCTCCCTGCTACTGTGCCTGGAAAAAGCAGCAAAAACAGCCCAAGTGTTTGGGCCTGTCAACGTGGAAGACCCACACGAGGCTTCTGACATGGGCTTGGCCCAGCCCTGGCTGGTGAGGCTGGAAGACCCCCCTCCCCCTTCTCTTTCTCTGGTTCACATACTCTGGTTTTCATTCTCTCTACAAAACTTTTTCAAATAAATAAGTAAATAAGATCTTTTAAAAAGACAGATGTCCATTCAGACTCTCAGAGATGGAAGGTTTTGCTTTTTCCTTACACTCACATGTGAATTTCCCTTCCCCAGTGGAGCAGGATTAGCACCCTTCTGATAAGGTAAGCACAATGGCTTGCTTGCTCATCCTTTTCCCAGGCGTCTGTCCAGCGGGACTTTGGGAGGCCAAGTGGCCGCCAGCAAGCCAGGAAGTGGAGCCCTCACCTGAAACTCAACCCAACCAGAAACAGCCTCTGAAGAGCAGGACAACGCACCCTCCACTGGCATTGGAGGGTGTTAGAAGACAATCTGTTTCTAACCACACAGCAGCTACACCTCCAGCGCGTAACGTTGGGAATGCAATGAAAGGCCCATCCAGGTTGTAAGGACTCCTGGGTTGGAGTGTGGGGTTGGGGAGAGTCCTGATGCCTCATGCTTGCAAATTTCCATGGTGCAAACACCTCCACCCGGCCAGTCTCAATGGCCAATATGATGTGGCTGAGAGTGGAGTTGGCTTTGAGAGCTGGTGCCAACTTTGGTCTTTAAGATCCAGTTTTTTGGACCCAGTGCAGTAGCCTAGTGGCTAAATTCCTCACCTTGAATGCACCAGGATCACATATGAGCACCAGTTCTAATCCCAGTGGTCCTGTTTCTCACCCAGCTCCCTGCTTGTGGCCTGGATGACAGCCACAAACCCTGGGACCCTGCAGCCATGTGGGAGACCCAGAGGAGGCTCGTGGCTCCTGGTTTTGGATGGGCTTAGCTTTGGAACGGCTCAGCTTCAGCCATTGTGGCCACTTGGAGAGTGAATCAGTAGATGGAAGATCTTTCTCTCTGTCTCTCCTTCTCTCTATATATCTGACTTTACAACAAAAAATTTTTAAATTATCTTAAAAAAATCCAGTTTTATTCCCGAGGGTTCCTGGGAAAAGCAAAGGTAGCAGTGAGGGGGTGGGGGAGGGGATGGAGGAAGACCGACACCCCCAAATAGAGGGAGGGTCAAAATAAGGAGGGAAGAGGAGAGAAAGAGCAAACAGCTGAGCCGGACAGGAAAGTGACCGACTGGACGGAAGGAATGGAAGTCAATGTGTAGTTTTTCAACAAATCCCATTCTTTCCGGATCTGACGCTTTACGCCACACAATCTAGTTTTAAGTGAAAAAGACAGTGATGTCCTCAGCTTCATGTGCAACGTTCTCTCCTTCCCATCCAGCTGGATCTGATCTTGGATGATTCCACTTAATTATTTTCCAACTTTATTCAAGATTTACTTACTTGAAAAGCAAGAGTTAAAGAAAAAGGAACAGACAGATCTTCTACCTACTGCTTCACTCTCCAAATGGCCACGGTGGTCAAGGCTGGGCCCGGCAGCAAAGCCAAGAGCTTCTTCTAGGTCTCCCACATGGGTGCACCTGAGTTCCACATGGGAAAAACTGGAGCCAGGTCTTCATCTAGCTCCGTACCTCGCTCACTGCAGGCGCCCCGGGCTTCCGGCCCTGGATGCTGGTAGCTTGCAGTGCCTGTGTCCACTTGCAGTGCAGTGGCCATCACAGCATCAAGCAGCCATCTCCCATCCTCGCTTGGCTGCAGCAGGCCCTTGGTACCTCTGAGGACACTGCTTAGGCAGCCAGGAGCCGCTGTGGGCTTCAAGGTGAGCAATAGCATCCTGGGGAATTGGGGGAGGGCGTCGCCCAGCAACCAGGCAAGGGACTTGCCTTCAGGCTCAAGGATGTGGAGAGCACCAGTTGTCTGGGGTGGGGGATGGGGATGTCTTGACACCCCATGTCCCTCCTTTAGGGTCCCGTCTGCCTCTGTCTTCCTGTGGAGTGGAGACCCCAGTGTGGCAGGGACCCTCTGAGCGATGCTGTGTTCATCCCAGGCACTCAGATGCTGATCAGGGGAGGTGGTCGGCACAGGGGTTTAGACGCTCATGTCCTACAACAGAATACTGGGGTTCTGTGTGCCAGCTCCGGACCCCAGCCTCCTGCCCTTCCTGGGAGGCAGCAGGGCTGACTCAGGTCATGCAAGACTTGGACTGAATTCCCAGCTCCCAGTTTCCACCTGGCCTAGTCCCTGGGGAGTTGTGGCATTTGGGGAGTGAACCAGCAAATGGAAACAGTCGTGTGTGTGTGTGTGTGTGTGTGTGTGTGTCTCAAATTTTTTTAATTTGCCCAAAATTTACAAAGGCATCAGTCCTCTCTTTCCACACAGCAGCCCACTTGGTCCCTCAGATGTCTGAGATGTGTGAGGATCTAGCCTGAATCGCCCATGCTTCCACAGTTACAGAAACACCCCTAACGTAAGCATCATCAACCTGCCGAAGGAATCAGCACCTCCCGAGTCCCAAGCAAGTGAGGCCTGAGGAATTCCTCTGCTCAAGGCAGGCTGGCAGCTCATGAATCCACATGCCTCAAACACGCCCATCTTGGCCTGAGGACCACAGCGCCGTGTGCCTCAGTTTCCTCATCTGTCAGAGGCAGCCAGAGTCCTGAGCCCCTGACTCGCCGTGATGACTAAGTGACTGAGTGTATAAACGCCTAAGGAAGCTGTCAGAGGGAACTGCAGGTTCTGGCTCCAGCAACACCACGAATCCATTCTGGAGGCCACCAACCATGGGTTTGTTCCATTTGTGTCCCTCATCTGGGACCCAACCCATGAAATGCGCTTTTCTCGTAGAAAGGGACAATTGGGGTCCATCCCTACCCACCCCCTGGGAGATGGGAAAGGAGGGACAAGGGAGAACGAGGGAGTCCTGGTGGGGTTTGCCCAGGTCAGCTCCCTTCGGCTAAGGGCCACAGCCGACCACCTGTCCCACAGGCAAACAACCACCTGTCCCACAGGCAAACAGAGTCTGCAGACGAGACAATCAGTGTCCAAACAAAAGCAGCGCGGCTGCCAAGCCCACACTTACTTCCAGGACCGTCCATTGTTCGACAACAATAGCGTCGTAGCCCTGGATGGTTTTGCTGTCTTCCGAAGAAACAGCTTCAAAGATGAATACTCCATCTGTCAGGCCGCCGGGCGAGGAGTCTGCGGAGAAAGCAGAGGGCGGGAGGGGCTCGGTGGGCCGGCTGCGGCTGGGGCCTCGGAAGCTTGCTCGCACTGCCTTCATTAATAATCCCAATCAGAACATCTTTTGAGCATGTTAATTAAAGGAGGCACACACACACACACGCACACACAGACACTGCGTTGAGCCCCATCAGAATGAATGAGCCTAATTTACCTCGCAGTTTTGAATAATATCCTTGATTTTATGAGCCCAAATTTCATTGTTAGCAATCACCATTTGATTTCACGCGTTTACCTTCCTTTTCACGCTCCAGCGTCAGGATACACTGGGAGAGAACTTTTCCGGGGAATTTTTACACACTGTTTTCAGAAGAAAACTATATTTAGATGAGGTTTTTTTTGTTTGTTTTTTTTGTTTGTTTTTGAAAGGGAGCACAGATCTCACAGAAGTGGGCTCCTCAGAAGCACTCTAGTCATGTGGATTCTTGAGGACTGGCAGGATGGAGGCTGTTGTGGGCACGGTGTTTACTGATTTTAATAAAAATACTTATTTATGTGAAAGGCAGATTTACAGAGAAAGAAGGAGAAACAGAGACACAGAGATCTTCCGTCTGTTAGTCCACTGCCACAACGGCTGCAATGGCCGGAGCTTAGCCAATCCAAAACCAGGAGCTAGAAGCTTCTTTGGGGTCTCCCACGTGGGTGCAGGAGTCTGAGGACCTGAGCCAACCTTCGTTGTTTTCCTAGGCCATAGGCAGGAATGTGGATCAGAAGTGGAGCAGCCCATATGGGATGCTGGCACTGCAGGCAGAGTCTTGATCTACTGTTCCATAGCACTAGCCACACAGACAACTTTTAAGATAGCATATGTCAAGAGGTAGAATGGGGTTGGGGGTGGAGCCTTTTCCCAAGCGATATAATCCCAGAAACATGGAGGCATTTTCCTAGCCAATGGATCAGGTCCTGGGTGGGTTGTTACCATTCTACCACTGGACAGGAAGCACTTACCATGACTCCACAACAGTCTTAGGAAAGGAGGGTATAACGAGAAACAGGGTGCTTGCCCTTGCAGAAGACAGACATACAGGCAGCCAGACACCTGCCGCCCTTGTGTGGCTCATGACCCTTCAATGCCAGGGATTCACTCAGAGAAATGATTGTGGGACAAAGGGCTGACTCGGGTGCCAGTGGCTTAGATCCCAGCTCAATCATGCCAGCTGACATGCCCTTTCCAGAGGCTTCATCTCTTCCTCTGTGAAATGGATCTGTGGGCAGATGAGCCCTGCGGGCCCCTAGATTCTATCACACAAACACTACCCAAGTTCACTGCCAGGGATCCAGCTGTGCCCTCCTCCAATGCAAATGACGGAACCCTCACCCCTACCCCCAAGTGAGAGGATTTGGAAATGACCTGTTTTAGTGTTAAATGAGGTGGTCCTGGGGAGCGGGTCCCATCCAGTGGCATTGATGTTCTTAAGAAAGAGAAAGAAAAAAGCAGAGCCCCATCTGGCTCTCTCACCAGTGGGTGCAATGAACAAAGAGGCAGTGAGCACCCTGTATGCCAGCAAAGAGCCCTCACCGGAAGCCGATTTGGTCGGCAATCCTGGCAGTGGATGTCCGGCCTTCAGACCAGGGAGAGACAACTGTGTGTGGTGCAAACCACCCGGCCACTGGTGTTTTGTTGCAGACACCCTGGCAGGCCAAGGTACAAGCAAGGCATATGTCAATAGTCAGCTTTTTCAAAAGCTCACTTACTTAGCAGGACAAATCCATAATTATGTGACATCCCAGCCACCCAGGGAGAGAGCAGGAGCGACAGCATCACAGCCCTCTGAATCACACAGGGTTCCTGGAACTGCCAGCGTTTTCCAGAAGTCACAGAGAAAAAGTCTGACCAACGTGAATGCACAGCTATCTCTCACTTCCGTCCTCTACCAATGCTAAGAAACAGAATAAAGAGGCTATGGGTGCAGCCCAAGTTCTTGTTGCCATAACAACAAAAACCAAGGAGGAGGTGAAGGGTAGTATTCCTTCTATACAAAAAGCTTTTACAAATCAATAGTTTAAAATACTCAAAAACCATTCGAAATGGGCAAAGAACATAAACAAGCCATTAATTAATTCCCTCTCTCCCATGGTTCCAATAAATCTGAAACCAAACACATTTTTCAATGTCCTTGCTGTTTATCACATGGGCAGATGTCAAAGGGACAATGCTCACTGATAACGGTTTGGGGATTTAGGCAAGTTTCCAGTGAGAGATGGAATTCTGAGTGTGTAATTTTCCCAGAGAGTAACTCAGCAATGCCTCGAGAGCCTCAGAGTGCAGAAGCCCTACCCCTTTTGGTCTACAGGCCGAGTACCGAGCGCCAACACCACTGAACACCCATGTACGGAGTTCCTTACAACATCCCTACACACCTTTAACACTTCTGTGGACAATGTCATGGCCCACTGCGGCATGATGTCACAGCTGGGACACCAACATTCCACAGTGGAGAGACAATTCATTTAATTTCTGATCCAGCACCCTACTTATGTGCCTGGGAACACAGCAGAAGATGGCTCCAGTACCTGGACCCCTGCCAATCAACCATACATGGGACCAGGGAGGAATTGGTGGCTCTTGGTATGAATTCAAGCCATCAGCAGCCCTGGCGTGTACAACTATTTACAGGGACCAGCAGTTGGAAGATTTGTCTCTCTGACTCACTCACTCTGCTTTTCAAATAAATCTTAAAAACAAATAAAACAGTCTTTAACTATCTTTATGGTTCACATTTTGACACACTAGATTAAGCTTCAGCCTGTAGTACTAGCATCCCATTTGGCCATTGGTTTGAGTCCCTGCTGCTCCACTTCTGATCCAGGTCCCTGCCAATGTGCCTGGGGAAGAAGTGGAGAATGGTTTAAGTCTTTAGCTACCGGCACCCATGTGGGAGACTGCTTCATTTCTTGTCCTCAGCATCTGCTGCCCAGCATCTCCAGGAACCCTTCACATAGGTGGCCTGGGAGAGCAGAGCTGCCCTTCCGCTGGGGTCTGGTTGAACAGACTGCAGCACACTCGTACCAGCTCACATTCCCACCACTGAGCACAGCTTCTCCAAGGCCCGGCCTGGGCATGCTCATGACCAGAAGACACTCACGACATCCTCCAGAGGTTATGGACACAGCACGCACCTGCTCCAGACGGTCATCCTCTGTGTCTGCAGCTTCCACATCTGTGACCTCTACCAACTTCACACTGTAAATACACACACACACACATCTCCCCTGTACTGCACATGCTCAGACCTTCTTCCTTATCACTATTGCCTTAACAATATGACAGCTATTCACATAGCTTTGGGTCAGCACTGTGACATTACAGTTCAGCCACCACTTGCAGCACCAGCACCACATATGGGTACCAGTCTGTCTGTCTACTTCTAATCCAGTTCCCAGATATGCAGCTAGGAAAGCAGCAGAAGATGGCTCAAATCTTAGGGTTCCTGCACCCATATGGGGTGGGGGACGACCCAGTAGAAAGCTGCTGGCTCCTGGCTTTGACCTGGCATGGCCCCAGCTACACAGGTGTTTGGGGAGTAAAGCAGCAGATGCAAGAGCTTCCAATTTCTCCTTTTCTGTCATTCTGCTTTGCAAACAAATAGAATAATTTTTAAAAATGGCATAGCTTTTACAATATTTGGTACTACAATTCATTTAGAAATGGATTAAAGCCTACAGGAGGACCATGCCGGTTGCATGCAAAAACAATACCATTTCTTTAGGGAATCTGAATATCTGAGTACATGAGGCTTTGGGTACCCATGGAAGAGGGGTCAGTGGGCCTCAGACCTCAAGAAAGGACTGGATATGCAGCTCCCAAAGCCCATATCTTCAAATGGCCTCAGTGGAAAACCTCAAGTCCTTCCAAAGTGTCTGCCTGGAGCTTTGAGTACTCAGGCGCCTAACATGACATAAATTACCAACAGCGCAGGCCAGCAGGGGTCATAACACCCAAGAGGGACCTGCAGTGCACCCACACTCTGTCTGCAGTGCCTGTCTGGCTTCCCCTCCCACCTTCCCATGTCACAGGGATGGGAAGAGGCAGTCTGAGTGACGGCCAGGCCTGGGTGGGCAGGAGATAGGAAGACACCGAGTTCCTCCTCCCCGTCCACCTCACTCAGCCTTCCAGCCTCTCAGTGTGCTGCCCTGCTGCTCTGAGTCCAGGGCGCTGATTCCCCTACTTAACTAACAGGCAGGTGCCGAGCGGCTGTCAGGACGCGCTCATCTGTAACAGTGGAAAGCCGATGACCTGGAGCAAGCAGATGGCTGTACGCTGACAGTGTCCCTTGTTTTGATGGTCTCATCCCCTCCTGGTCTCCATGCTCCCCTTCATGGCTGGGCCCCACTGCAGCACGCACTTGCACCCAGTTGAGTATAAATAAGGTCATCTCAGAATAAAGGCGGCCAAAGCAGAAAGGTTAAACCATCCTTCCTCTATAGAAAACTTTCCATTATCACCACATTGTTTATTAAAGTAAAGATGCTTCCCTACTGTGCACAGAAAGCTATTTGCCCTGGTGTTTGTATAAATATTTGATGCCGGTCTTTTGGCAAAAGGCCACCTTACCCGCCCGAGCTTATGATTTACAAGAAGGATGTGCGAAAAGGGCGAATGGCTGTATCCTATGCAGAGGTAAATCCGATGGGACCTCAGCTCTTCTCCCAAAGCCTTGAAGCCTCTACACTCCGTTCAGGCGGCTCAGCTTTGGGCCCAGTCCCCTGGGGCTTGCTCTTCTCCAAAGACAGGCACGACAAATGGCCAGGGCAACTAGTCTGCTTCTGCAAGATTAAAGACACATGCTATTTCTCCTCTGAACCAGCTGCTTTGGAATCAATCATCCACGCCAGGGTGTGGTGGTGACAGCAGCACAGCTCGCCTTGGGCTTTCTGGAAGCCCCTTCTCCACCCCCCACCCCCCCGACCCCAGAGACTGCACGCTGCTCCACCTCGGTTCTACCATGGTGCACTGT